CCGCAAAGTTTCGGCTTTTACCAACTGCGATCTTGAAATTTTTTTTTGCGAAATGGAGTAAAGATGCGATTTTCAGAAAAGAACGAAATCCAGTTTCTGAGAATATGCAATCTCCGAATATGCCTAGCGCAATATTGGTAGGCTTCGCAAGATTTCGGTTTTCAAAAAAAAAACGAAATCTACCCGACAGGTCTACAGTTCGAAATCCTTCTACCCTGTGACCTACGAGAAACTACCTACCACTGGCGGTCCTACAGGTAGCAGGTTCAAATCTACGGGTTGACGCCGGTACTGTACACAGGTAAGGTGGGGAACTAGGGATTGAGCCCTGGGATCTGCATAAGCTACTGCGAACTGGTGAATACCGTTTCACTATCATCAATACAGTGCTCAGGTACATTCTGCACAGCACTTGTGAGGCCTCAGCCAGGCCTTCCCCGACATCTGGTCGGAAGTATTACGTTGGAGGCAAGAAACAAACCAACGGGAAAGTTCTAATGTGAGCATGTTGTCAGTGAGCGCCGTGGAATACGCCCTGCCTTGCTGGCAGGGCACAGAAAGAAAAGAAAAGAAAAATGGCTAAAGATTTTTTTTTTCTCTCTCTTTTTCTTTCTTTTTTTTTTGCTGCTGTGCTCTGTGGTCGTCCGTGTTCGTTTTCACAACGCACCTGTGCCGAGGCTCCACTAAGCTCGTACTGGGCCTGCCAAGGTCTTCCATGAATTCAGGAAGGCTTTTTTTTTGCCTGGGCGGGGTACTGGTGGTTTAACGGGGCATAACCTTGCTTTGCAGTGAAGCAACGTTCAAGGAATTCAATGTTGTTCCTCAGGAGCTCTGTAAGTGCTGAAAGTTGTGCATGTTGGCATGTACGACCCAGCAGATTTAGTGTGCACCTGTCCTGCCTGACGACAAAGAAGAGTTTGTTATGGAAAACACACCACTGGCCACATACAGCGGCAGGTGTACCATCGCACACCTACACACACCATAAGCAGTCTCACACACTGTTCGACACATACATCTAAAAAAACCGTTGGGCATAGTGCTCGACATAGTGTTGGACATACCGTTAGCAGTACACATACTGTAAACAAGTGCTATCAGGGTACTTCCGGATGCAGTCTTATATACTTCGGCGCAGATACGGTTCGCACACTGTGGGACAAAATACTAGGCTTGAGGAAGTTGAGGGCCTAGCTTCACTACTGAACACTCTACACGAACCTGAATGACAATTCAACCAGATAAACTTGGACGGATCTTGAATGTATTGAGACCATTCCCAAGCTTCAGATACACTTAGAGAGATGTGCAGAGAAGCCTGGTCCTAAGAATCACTCATTGCAGTTAGTTAGCATGAATTGAAGTTAGACCGATACAGCCCTTGACATCAACAAAAATCCGCGGGAGTGCGCAAAGGATCAGGCTACTGGCCACAGGGGCGCTCGTGGCAGTGCCAGGGATTTTCAGTGCACTGAATTTGGCAATTCCATGCTCATAACTTTTCATGAAAGAAGTACCCAAGAGTCTAGCACAGTGGGTACACCCATGAACTGTTGAAATACAGACCAGAGTTCGACTCCAGAGGATGGAACTTGACGAGTAAAACGGAATATTTCTGACTTGAAAAGAAACGCCAGGAAAATAAGCAACAGCGAGATGACGAATTCCAGATTACACCATGACATTGAAAGCCAGATAGTCACACTGTGTCCAGAGAGCAGCATTGCACCAAAAATACACCAATGGAGGTTCGTAGTGCAATGAACCCAGATGGCGAAGATACTTGTCAACAATGCCAGCCCATATAGATATCAACCTGCTGATGAATGTCAAATAATCATAATTGTGTCCAGATAGAATGAGATGGGAAA